GAAATGCATGAAGACACACACATGCTTATACAGTACATATACACACATACCAAAAATCAGACAATACACACACAAATACACACAAAATCACAAACAAAAAATAAATAAATAAAAATCTCACACACCTGCATTTCTTTCTCGCCCTCCTCTGTCTAGCCTCATTCTTCAACACACACACACACACACTAAACTGTTCACATTGAGTGGAGAATAACAACAGTCGCCATCAGAAGGCCTTCTTCTTGGAGACGAATACCTCCTTCTCTCCCGCTCTCAGGTTTTTTTTTTTTTAATGTCTTTCTGTCTCTGTCTACCTCCCTCCCTCTCCCTCTCTCTCTCTCTCTCTCTCCCTCTCTCAATCACTCCTTTGGTGCAGTTTGGGCTGTTTCCATGGCAACGCGCCGAGTCCCATGGTCGCTGGAGGGAGAGAGCGCTACCCCGCTCGTCCTGCCCAAAAAAACATGGGGGGGGGGGAGAGAGAGAGAGAAAAAACACTCCTCCTAAACACTCCTTCAAACTGTGGACTACAATGTGTGTGTGTGTGTGTGTGTGTGTGTGTGTGTGTGTGTGTGTGTGTGTGTGTGTGTGTGTGTGTGTGTGTGTGTGTGTGTGTGTGTGAGTGTGTTTTATTTTTTTCCCCAAATGATTGGAGTAGCTACCAAAAAACACCAATTTCAGTCTGTCTGCCTGAGTCTTTGTCTTTCTGAGAAACAGACGCGGATACTTCTGTGCTGCTTTCAAGATATTGATAATTACAAGATTATTGATTTACACACATTTTCACTCCCACTCTGGGTTATTACAGGACTTTATTACCATAATTATTAACACATGAAACACGCAGTCAAGTCTAATCTAATGCACTTTGATTGATTAGAAGTATTTCGTGATGAGCTGATCAAATCTACATTATTATGAGCCGCAAACTGAACTGAATCACATGTTTATGTATGAATGGTTTTTATTATCGTCGGCCTGTTTTTCTGTTTAGGGTCCCATGATGGTTTTTCACAACCCGGCACGAAGAACATTTTGGAAAGAATCATGAATAGTAAATTAATTTTTAGCTTGAAAATTGACAAATTTTGTAACATAAAGGGGGAAAAAAGGTCAATGTGGGCAATTTTATTAAAGAAAAATGCAATTTTCTGCTTTGAAAACCCACACAAGTTTATATCCATCTGTGATTAAGTGCTACAACGGATGATTTCATATAATAATCAATATTCAAATGTTATTGAATATGGCTTTTTCTAGACACACAGAATAAATAAAAGAAAGAAATTAAATAGAAAAGAAAGAAAAAGGAGGTTGTGCCTGTCGCAGAAGAAACATGGCTGCAGATCGTCTGTCGCCTATTTCATTTTTATTCATAGGTTCATTCAACAGGCAGCCTGAGAGGAGAGCAGAGGAGGGAAGAGGGGTGAAGATAATGAAATAGGGTGAGAGAAAGGAGAGATGAAAGGGGGGAGAGGAGAAGGATGGGGGGTAAAGCTGAAGATTGGTAGAGGGAGAGGAGATGAGATAAGTGATGACGAAAGAGTAGGGAAAATGGAGAAGCAATGGTGGTAAAGAAGAAAAGTTCAGCTGGAAACGGACGGTGAAGAAAAAGGGTGAGGGAGATAAAAAAAAAGGAAACGGATGGAAGACGGAGAAAAATTAAAAAGGAGGAGAAGGAGGGATAAAGATGAACAGGAAGAGAAACACAGGAAGATGGTGGCAGGAAGGAAAAAGACAAGTAAAAGAATCGAGAAGGAGGAGGAAGACCGAAGAGGAGTTGGAAAGCTGAAGTAAAAAGGGAGGAGGAAGAGTGGGGGATGGATAAAGAAGAAGTGGAAGAGGGAAAGAGGTGGCGGGGGGGAGCGAGAGACGACGAGAAGATATAAGTGTAAGATAACTTAAAGTGATGAAAAGTAGGGAGGGAGGAAAAGAAAAGGATTAAACGGGCAACAAGGGAAGGAGGAGATGAGAGGGGGGAGGAGGACCAGAAAGATGAGAGGTTGGAAAACGAAAGATGTATTTGTCTTTTCTCCTCCACCTCTTTCCTTCTTTGCTTTCACTTCTTTTCTAGCACTTTTCATTTTGCATTGTCCTCCTCTCTCCTCCAACTTTCTCCTCTTCCACTTTTCCTCCTCAGCTCTTCTTTCCAACCCTTTTCTCCTGCTTTTGTCTCATAATCTTCGCCCATTTATTTCCCTCCCTCCCTCCTTCCCTCTCTCTTTGATTCTTTTTCAAAGGCCTCCCAAACTCCTGCGTCCTCCCGCAGCGTCATTTGTTTGTACATCAATAATTTCTGGTGACAAACGGCGGCCTTTTCATCGCTCACATGCCAACCTGAAGCCTGACACGCTCACTTTCTTATTTCTTTTGATTTTCGCCTTTTTTGTGTGTGGAGAGAGCAGTCGCTTCGACAGGTAGATGTCAAGTTTCCATATTTCTGTTGTCGGCTGAGATAAATACCCCCCCCCCCACCGAAAAATCAGACAAAGAAGGATGAAGAGAAATAGGAACAAAATTCTCCAAAAACCCAAAAACTAAAAAAAAAAAAAAAAAAAACCTAAACTAAAAATCAATTAATAACTTTAATGAAATAAAATGTTTCCGAGAAAACTCCCAAAAGTGTCTGAGTCCATTTACATTATGAAATCGATAAGATTGATTGTTACTTTCTGTATCTGTTGTTTCTTTAAAGTCATCTGAGTAACGACATGAAATACATTTACTCATTTGGCAGACGCTTTTATCCAAAGTGACTTACATTTGAGGAACAACATACAATCATTAACAGAGCATAAAATACAGCACAAGATGTACAACTGATAATACATAATAAAAGCAGCAGTAAATACTAGTAAGCGCTCATGGCACATATCGCATCAATCGGGTGAATACCTAGGGAAAGAAGTTAGAGTTGACAAAAAGTGCAATCAATACACCAAATAACATTAAATGGATTGTACTCCTGTAACACCGTCAGACTCACAAGATGGACCATTTTAAAATGCAGAAAAATCGACTTTGCTGTGCCAAAAATTCTTCTTCTTGGTCAAAGCATGGCGCCTACATTACCCTCAATGCATCTCGACCGCCAACAGTTCTGTCTGAGGTTTAAGGCCCGTGTCCACCAAAGCGTTTTTTTCTGATGCCAGCGTCATTTTTCAATTCATTGCAATGGGAGCGCCACGTTTTTGCAACCTGGTAAAAACATCAGCATCGTGACGAGACGCTGAGCGTCTTTTCCGCGCTGACCGTTTTTTCCCGGTCGCCTTCTCTTCATGCAGAGCAAGGCCCACAGCAAGTAGGCCTACCCTACTTTGTGGTGACATTTTCTACACATTTAAGTAGGTAGCCTACTTGCAACGGATCACCTCCATGGATAGTACGTATCATAGCAACCATAGCAACCACAAAACGCACCGTAGCGCTACCAGCTAGGCGTTTTCAGAACAGCAGCTGACGTTTTCAGCTGGTAAAAAAAAGCTTTGGCGAGCTGAGGCAATACCAAAAGGCGACGTGAAGAATCGTCACTATTCACGGCATCATCAATGCACGCACGCCACACGGGGTGTCCTGAACAAGCCCGCCATTTTTAAATAGTTTAGCCAGAGATTGTGATATAGTAACTGTAACAATACTTTATTATTATTATTATTATTATATTATTAATTGTGTGTCACGTTTAAAGGACACTTATTAAACAGCTTTTCCAGTTCTATATTGTAGTTCTGTGACTCCTGTATTGCAGCTTTGCATGATTCAAAAAAATCATTTTCTTCCTTATACTGGCTCTTCATGTAGGCCTTCATTTCAGCCTCTGTCTGAAACAAGCTGTAGATGCTCCTGTCTCTTTAAGGCCCCTCCTCTCAAAGCCCACTGTTTCCTGATTGGCAACTTTTTTCATGTACGCAAGCTTGTCTATTAAACACGAGAGGCGTCACTTGGTCTTATTTACGTTGGCCAACTTTTGAATTGAACCTCAAACTGAGTTGTTTTTAGTTTTTTGACGAGATTAGAACTGAGGTAAGGACGCATTAATTGGTTGTTGAACTGTGGGTTTTGTATCGAGTGCTTACTGTATAATACAGTTCACACGGCTGAACTTTGTATATATTTGCTGTCAGTAGGAAGGCCGACCTGATAAGGTTATATCACATTATTTAATGCCATGACTTGACTCTCAAATTATCTTTCTCATATCATTATAATTTGATATTCCTTCTCCACCATTGCTCATAATAATAATTCATGCATCACCTAATTTCAACACAGACCTGGCCTACAAGAAAGAACAGTGTATGTTTAATCTATCTAATATTGTGTTGGTCATACTATACACTGATTTACCGCTTGTCTGTTTTGAATAATAAAGGAGGGTAAAGAGCTTAAAAATTAATCGAATATTAAGTCGCAATATTGGCTAGTTAGGGTTAGTCTGAGCCACAGCCTCCCCTCAATAATAATAAATAATAACAACCGTGTACTCAAAGATGGCGGCGTTTCGTTCCATCAAAAGTAGCTCATCGAGCATAAAAAAAAATTTATATTAAACCTTCCTGGATCAAAAACAAATGGTGGTCTGAGAACTCACAAGTGTGTTTCTGAGAGGAAAACAAACTCTGTAATGAAGCGGTTTCAGGTGAGCTGCCTCTGGTCTGTGAGGAAGTAGTGGTGTTAGCCTGGATTGGCCTTTAGGTGTGTGTGAGACTGCAGACACACTGGTACATGTTGTATATCATTAACTGTTAGTGTGTACGTGTGTGTGTCACTCTCCCACTTGTGATAGTAAAGAGAACAAGTGACATCCCATCAGCCCCTTCACCACAACCCCCCCTATATCCAATGACACACACACACACACACACACACACACACACACTCGAACACACAGTGAAGCTGCAGCCAAGCAGAGAAAATAGTTTGGCTGCACATCCTGTACTGCTTGTTTAAGCTCCACACTGTGAAACACCAAACTCTCTCTGTGTTTCTTTGTCTCACTGTCTCTTTTTCACTCTTTTTGTTCTCTTTGTCCCTCTTTCTTTCACACACTTTACTTTCTCAGACACACACACAGCTCACTATGTGGACAAAGCCTTCATTCAGTGGAGGTTTTGGTCAAGCGGCTCGGCCTGCTGGTGAGACTGAGGAGCTGATCCAGATCTGACTGACTGGTTTTTATATCTGAATTTACAGGATGCTTAGAAGGTTGTGTTTTTATTAGAGCTGGCCAAGATTATGTGTTCACCTGGCTGATTGATTTCATATCCTGAGCAGTTTTAAGATCGCTAATGTTTTGTTTTCCTTTTCATTCGACTGACTGCTTTCCAGGTTTACTGACTGATTATTAAGTCTGAAGAACTCATTTTGAGATGATGGATGGTAGATTTCTAGTCTGGGTGACTTGTTTTCCTGATTTTATTGTATAAGTTTTAACTTCTTGACAAATCTATGTATAGGTCCGTTTTCTCACCGTTTCTCAAGGTTGACAAGTCAGTCAAACCCATTTTTGGACACGGAAAGGCCAAAACAACCTCGCGGGTAAAGACGGCTAAGAAATAAAACATTCAGATTTAGGTGACTGATTTAAACTTTTACTGTAAACTGTTTGATTCTTTTGGTTTGAGTGACCGGCTTTAAGCTCATTTCAAGTCTGACTGACTGGATTACTGTCTGATTTGAGTTCGGCCTTTATTGTTTTTCAGATTTGTTGACTGGCTGGTTGCATTTCCTGCCTGTGTGAGTCTCTGTGACGAAAGTTGGGAGAACAATACAGGACGTTTACTGCCAGACTGTGATGCAATCTATGTGTAAGTATGTGTGTGCGCATACAGCCTCTTAATATGATGCAACGGTGAATTGAATGCGTACGTAACTGTGTGTCTATAGGCTGTGTCTGTGTATACATACAGCTTGTGTGTGTGTGTGTGTGTGTGTGCAGTATGATGCAATGTGCAGCGCAGCCAGCAGAAAGCAGCTACGCACTCCAATAAATAGACATACTGGCACCGGGGATGTGTGTGTGTGGGAGAGAGGGAGAGAGGGAGTACTGTACTACTGCAAATGTGTGTACTGTTGGTGCGTGAGCGAGTGTGTAAACAAGTGTGAAAGAGTGTGTGTGTGTGTGTGCGTACTATTAGACATGCAAAAAGGAAAGAATCCTAGCAGGAGGTGCGTTAGAGCAGCAGGGGAAATGAATGCATGTGTGTGTCTGCATGTTGACCAGCTGGCGTTCCACATGTGGACATGTCCTGCAGAGCCAGAGACACCTGCAGAGAGACCCGCTCCTATCTTTGCCCGGAGTGTGTGTGAATGATATAAATGTGTGTAACTTCATAATGCATGCATGTGTGTGTGTGTGAGAGCCTGCCAGTTGGTGGGTGTGTTATGAATGCGTAATGTACGTATGAGTCAGTTGGCGTGTGTATATCTGTTTATTAGACAATGCAGTATCAATACAGTACACACAGTACAGTACGCAGTGCAGAGAGTCTGAATACAATAATTCAGTATCAGTACATGAGTTGACATGTGTTTCAGTAACAATGTGGTGAGTCAGAATATTATTCAGTATGAAAACAGTGACCCACATTTGAATTCAATGTAACCACAGTGTATCTGGACATTAGTTAGTATTCAGTGAAAGGAGTCAAAACATCCTTCCCTGTCAATACAGTGAGTCACAATGCGATTCAGTAGTGATACAGTGAATTATGACATGATTCTGTATCATTACAACGATGATTCAGTATCAATACAGTGAGTCAGAGTGAAATTCTGTATTAATCTAGGGTGACCATTGGTTTCCATCACCAGTCCCAGCTCAACTCTACTCGGCCGTGCTCCGTTTTCCATTGCAGATAGTACCCAGAGATGCCAATATTCGAAATCTACACAGCTGATTTCTCACCTCAAAACTTCTCAGAAGAGGATTTAGTGAAGAAATTACGTATGAAAACTGTAAAATATAAAACTTTCTGTTGCCGGCTTCTGTCTGGCGCACGCAATGATGATGCAGTGAATAGTGACGATTCTCTCTGACCAATCAGCAGTCTGTCGTGTTTTCACGTCACATTTTAGTATCCCTCAGCTCGCTTGGAACCTCCACGGAGGTACAACTTTTCCACAATGGAAAACCAAACAAAGGCAAGTCGAGGCGAACTGGTACCGTGCAGCGGAAACGCGGCTCATACGTCCTCTTTTTAGGACCAAATAAATGTGTCCAGCCGGGATTTCTAAATCGCTCAAAATGTCCGGGACTCGGCTTCTGCTTTCTACTGTCGGCATTCGCTGCGTGTTTTTGTATTGCCTCGACCTTTCTCTTCAAGTCCCGCCTACTCGCACCCCGCCATTGGTCAAACGGCATCTCAATCATCACCCTCAGCATCAACAGCCAAGACACAGAGCAGCAGCTTGCTTGTCAACAGTGGCACATGGCGCCTGAACAGCGTAAGAAATGCGTCTGTAAACGGTAGCGGCACTCTTACATTTTCTTGCGTATCGGCACTCCTCACAAGCTGCCGGTACTTTTGTCTGCCCCCTCCACCGACGCTGACGGAGTATGTCACTTTTGAACCGTCCACAATCACTGCCTGGATGCCGCGGGACATTAAGAAGGTTGATGTGGTGCTACAGCACACTTCTAGAAATGTTGAACTCGTTGCACGAATTGTTCTGATTATTGACGCGCTTAGCATTAACAAATTAGAGGCTAACCCCCATGTAGAGTAATTTCTGGCACACAGATTTAATGAATGAGTACAAGGTACTATAATGCAACTACTGTAACTGGAATAAATATTATACTAGTAGGTAGGTAGGTACATTCATTTTATCACAATATAACAGGTTATATAGTGAAATTGAGTTTGTAACTCCCTTCTGCTACGTAGCAGACAATATACATTAACATAGAAACAATTATAAAAATGGTAAGCAGAAATAAAGTATATTCAATGGAGCAGTGCTGAGGATGAATTTGAGCTTAGGAGTCTGATAGCTTGGGGGGAAAAGCTGCTCTGCAGCTGGTGGTGCGGCAGCTGTTGGTACTATAGCAGTAAATAGTGGTACACTATTACCAAAAATAATAAATACACTAATATCAGCACTAATCAAATCTTAAAAAGACAGAAAGAAAGACTGTTATTTGTGAATCAGTTGAATTGTTAAATATCAATAAGCTGATGAAATATTACAAATAGACTAATAAAATAAAGAAACTGTAGGCAGACATACAACAAATAAAGTGTAACCGATAAATATATTATTATACTAACATTGAACTTTATAATATTATACTAATTCATACTAGTTACTCCTCCAGGTGGATAGAGCCTCTGTAGTACTCACTGCCATGGTGGCCCCACTGTCCTCCTTTCTGAAAACCAAAGTATGGTCACTGAAATCAGTACAGTGTGATCCAGTCTCAATGCAGTGAGTCAGACCCTGATCCAGTCTCAATGCAGTGAGTCAGACCCTGATCCAGTCTCAATGCAGTGAGTCAGACCCTGATCCAGTCTCAATGCAGTGAGTCAGACCCTGATCCAGTCTCAATGCAGTGAGTCAGACCCTGATCCAGTCTCAATGCAGTGAGTCAGACCCTGATCCAGTCTCAATGCAGTGAGTCAGACCCTGATCCAGTCTCAATACAGTGAGTCAGACCCTGATCCAGTACCAATGCAGTGAGTCAGACCCTGATCCAGTCTCAATGCAGTGAGTCAGACCCTGATCCAGTATCAATACAGTGAGTCAGACCCTGATCCAGTCTCAATGCAGTGAGTCAGACCCTGATCCAGTACCAATGCAGTGAGTCAGACCCTGATCCAGTATCAATACAGTGAGTCAGACCCTGATCCAGTCTCAATGCAGTGAGTCAGACCCTGATCCAGTCTCAATACAGTGAGTCAGACCCTGATCCAGTCTCAATGCAGTGAGTCAGACCCTGATCCAGTACCAATGCAGTGAGTCAGACCCTGATCCAGTCTCAATGCAGTGAGTCAGACCCTGATCCAGTATCAATGCAGTGAGTCAGACCCTGATCCAGTCTCAATACAGTGAGTCAGACCCTGATCCAGTCTCAATGCAGTGAGTCAGACCCTGATCCAGTATCAATACAGTGAGTCAGACCCTGATCCAGTCTCAATGCAGTGAGTCAGACCCTGATCCAGTACCAATGCAGTGAGTCAGACCCTGATCCAGTATCAATACAGTGAGTCAGACCCTGATCCAGTCTCAATGCAGTGAGTCAGACCCTGATCCAGTATCAATACAGTGAGTCAGACCCTGATCCAGTACCAATGCAGTGAGTCAGACCCTGATCCAGTATCAATACAGTGAGTCAGACCCTGATCCAGTACCAATGCAGTGAGTCAGACCCTGATCCAGTATCAATACAGTGAGTCAGACCCTGATCCAGTATCAATGCAGTGAGTCAGACCCTGATCCAGTATCAATGCAGTGAGTCAGACCCTGATCCAGTACCAATGCAGTGAGTCAGACCCTGATCCAGTCTCAATGCAGTGAGTCAGACCCTGATCCAGTATCAATGCAATGAGTCAGACCCTGATCCAGTCTCAATGCAGTGAGTCAGACCCTGATCCAGTCTCAATACAGTGAGTCAGACCCTGATCCAGTCTCAATGCAGTGAGTCAGACCCTGATCCAGTCTCAATACAGTGAGTCAGACCCTGATCCAGTACCAATGCAGTGAGTCAGACCCTGATCCAGTCTCAATGCAGTGAGTCAGACCCTGATCCAGTCTCAATGCAGTGAATCAGACCCTGATCCAGTATCAATACAGTGAGTCAGACCCTGATCCAGTCTCAATGCAGTGAGTCAGACCCTGATCCAGTACCAATGCAGTGAGTCAGACCCTGATCCAGTCTCAATACAGTGAGTCAGACCCTGATCCAGTCTCAATACAGTGAGTCAGACCCTGATCCAGTCTCAATGCAGTGAGTCAGACCCTGATCCAGTCTCAATACAGTGAGTCAGACCCTGATCCAGTACCAATGCAGTGAGTCAGACCCTGATCCAGTCTCAATGCAGTGAGTCAGACCCTGATCCAGTCTCAATGCAGTGAGTCAGACCCTGATCCAGTCTCAATGCAGTGAGTCAGACCCTGATCCAGTATCAATACAGTGAGTCAGACCCTGATCCAGTCTCAATGCAGTGAGTCAGACCCTGATCCAGTATCAATGCAGTGAGTCAGACCCTGATCCAGTCTCAATACAGTGAGTCAGACCCTGATCCAGTCTCAATGCAGTGAGTCAGACCCTGATCCAGTCTCAATGCAGTGAGTCAGACCCTGATCCAGTATCAATGCAGTGAGTCAGACCCTGATCCAGTCTCAATGCAGTGAGTCAGACCCTGATCCAGTATCAATGCAGTGAGTCAGACCCTGATCCAGTCTCAATGCAGTGAGTCAGACCCTGATCCAGTATCAATGCAGTGAATCCAGTGAGTAGGAATATAGTTCTGAACCAACACAGGAAGTCAGAATATGATTCAGTCTCAAGAATATCATGGGATCAATCAAGTCGCAGTATTAATTAATAAATCAGTCCGTATCAATAGAGTGAATCAAAACATGATTCAATATCAATACATGGAGTTAGAATATAAATGTAAATCAACACTGTGAGTCGACTCAGTATCAATAAACTAAAAACATTCTGTATTAATGTACTGTGTAGTATCTTTGTGTACTTCAGCAGTAAAAATACTTCACGCATAAACCAGGAGTACTTCTTGTGTAGTGTGGTGCGATGTGGTGTCGACCAATACGCTGCTTTATATTGGCTGCTTGTTAGGTCGGATATTTACCAAGGGTGCACGTAACGCTGTGCGTGTGTGCGCGTGTGTGTGTGTGTGTGTGTGTGCGTGTGTGTGTGTGTGTGTGTGTGCGTGTCCAGAGGCAGAGTGCGGTGAA